GGGCGCTGAAGTCGCCATAGCCATTTGAGAGTGAATTCGTATCTGAAGCCATATCTCTGAGTTTTGAGTGGGCGCATGTCGCCAGTGTGCTGCGTACTGTTTACATGTGTGAAAAGTGTGTTGAAAGCGAGTCTGATTGCAGGAGAGGACAGAGCCAGTCCCGGTCCCTGGGGATCATCACAGCATTCAATGCTATTTGATGTGCTAACTTGTTAGTAGGCTTTTTAGGCAGAGGTCACATCCGTGCTGAGTGTAGATGTGTTCGCAGCACATTGGTCCCATTTATTCATCCACATTGGGGACAGGATTTGGCTGATTGCTAAGCACGTCAGGCATATTCCTGATTGTCTTTATGCTAATCAGACAGGTGTGAGAGTAGATAGTTATTTTGGTTGATGTGGACTGCAGAGTCCGTTCAGACTGCATTGTGATATGCTGGACCATGTCTGTGATTGATGGATGGGCCAGCACTTTTTTTTTTGTTTTTTTTTTTCTTGTTAAACGGGGTAGCACCTGATATTATATCATTCACCTGGTTTCATCAAGATTCAAACTTGTTGCAAGGAAATGAGCAATGGGAGGGTAAAAAAACCCAATTGGAGCATTCAGTTGATATCCAGATAACTAGCCCGAATTGACAGCGGATCCCAGTATCAGATAATACCAAATAAGTATGAGCAAAGCATTGAAGTCACATGATAATGAAAGCCCGCTCCTCGCCTCCTCTCCCCAATGTCAAAAATGCCCCCCTCCTGTACTGGCACTCTGTGCCCAGACTGCAACCAGACAGCTCCTACGACCTGGACACCTCTCTACAACACGTCACCAGTGAAGATCATCTGCCTGATGAACGCATGAAGCTTCCAGACGTGCGGTCCGCATCTCGTCCCCCATGTGAGTGCCTCATCACATCGCCTGCTCTCCCCAACTTCCCTCAACTGTCTGCGCAAGGACCTTTGCCTTCCTCCCCCGGCTATGGCTGCTGCGCCTGGCAGATTTCCTTCTTAATAGGTCTGGCTGGAGTGGTGGTTTAACTGGTCTTGTGGAGAGCTGGCTTCCAGCAGCGACATTCATGCCAGTCCTGTTGAATGCATGGACCTATGCACGATTCGACATTTGTGCCCTGTTTAGCGTTTAGAACCTTGGGGTGTTCTCCTTGTCATGGGACCACAGCATGTGTCTCGTTCGTGCAGCTCCTGGGAAATTCTGATGCAGTACCCAGGGTGGAAGGAGGTGTTGGCGTGACGCACACTGCACTTCCTGCAACTGCGAACACCTGTGAAAACTTATGGAGAAGGTTGGCGCGGTCCCACATATGAATGACACCCACAAAGTCAAGAAATGGTTCAAACCTTCGAAAGGAGAGGAGAGGAAAATGGGTGGGCGAGGAGCTGGAGCACTGAGGTTGCTGTCCCAAATAGTGTTCCGGTTGTTAACAAAGGCCAGCCTCGTGCAAGCTGGCTTGCTTCCGCTTTGTGTTGTGGAAGGTTGATTGTCAGCTTCGTGTAGGCCCTACTAGGCCGCCGCGAATCCTGACGGTGTTGTTTTTTTCGTTGATTTGCAGGAACCGGAGGTGGTGGACTTGGCGGATTTTCTGATATCATGTGGAGGGCACATCAAGGGTGCAGGCACAAATTGCATTGTAATTCAAGGAGTGAAACGGCTGCATTCAACAGATTTCACAATCATTCCTGACCGGATTGAAGCTGGGACATTTCTGGTGGCAGGAGCGATATGCAGATCGGAAATCACCATGTCACCCATCTGTGTCAGGCATTTGACAGCGGTGGTCTCCAAAATGCGAAGTATAGGATGCAATATGAGGTTCGATCGGCCGGACAGTCTGACGGTGAGAAAGCCCTCGAAAGCCCTGACTGGTTATTGAGACTTGATCGTGGTTCGTAGCTTGCTTTGTTGCTTGTAATGATTGCTGTGTTTGAGCGGTGGCCGCCGAACTTTGGTCTGTTTGTCAACAGCTCAGTGGTGTACTATTCAACCACATGGCTGTTCTACTTTGTGAGTGTGCGTGTGGAGATAGAGGTGAAATCTTTTAGCGCGTGTGTTTCTGGAATCTCTCTTTTTATAAAGGCCCCGCTGCTGCTTCTCTGTAATGCGTTGCGCGTGTGTTTCTGGAATCTCTCTTTCTATAAGGCCCCGCTGCTGCTTCTCTGTAATGCGTTTGTGAAAGTGCTGCCAGGTCAGGAAATTCGAGTGGGCCCCACCACTGCTCTCGTTGTCGTGTTGGAATGTGCGTCAGGTCAGGTGGGACTGAGGTGCCAGCTCACTATTTTGTGCTGTTCCCGGAGGAGGTGCTGAGAGGTAACCCTAATGCATCTCACATCTGCGGGACCGAGGGCTATAATGTGAAGTCGTAAACCTTGTTTAGTTTTCGGCTGTGCCCGCCCCTCCTTGTCCCTGGCTCCACCTGCACTCACGGACACCATGTAGAACTTGCCCTGTTACATCTATTACGGAAAAGGACAGTCTTAAAACCTTTATGGCTCCTGAGGGATACCATCCAGCCATTAGGCAGTTATGTTAACCTTTCTGTTATGCTGAGCATTAAGGTTAGGATTATTATAATATAATAGGGGTAATTGCAGAGATATCGCGTTTTTTAAAGTTTCGCAGCAGAAAGTTTGTACGGGTCCGGAAGATCTATTTCTTAAGGAAAGTGGGACCCTGCCGCAAAGATTTTTGCTGTGAAACTACCGCGACCTCTAAAGCTGCAACGAAAGATACATTCTTGCAACCAACAATATTTTTGCTGTGAAACTACCGCGACGCGCTATTTTTGGAACTTACCCGCTATAATATGCATTCTTTGGATGTGTATTTACTATTTAGGAAATTATTGGCGGTCTAGGTTACCAGGCTGTCCACATAACTCCCACATAACTCGGCACGGCATCTGTCTGGGTTGTCTGGGAAGACAAACTCTGCACTCGGGATAAGTCCGTCCATTAAAGGCTCAGGGAGGCGTCTTTCCAGCTTGTGGGGTTGAGTGTGGTTATTTAGTGCTTGCTAAATGCAACACGGATCAAGGCCTCTTTCCTTCCAAAAACTGTATGTGGGGGGTTCAATATGAGTTTGCCATTTCTCTTTGCTTTTCTCTGTCCAGTTTTCATGGAATTTTCGAGTGGCTCTCAGCTGATGGTTGTTTGTATTGCAGTTCTGCATAACATTTGTTTTCCCCTTTTTTCTGTCTTTTTCCCAAAAAACACCCATTCATGTGGGTTGTTTGGCAGGCAGGCTGTCTGACCCAGATGTACTCATCATCTGGATCTTAAATGCAGGGTCTGATGTCTGTCCTGGTAATGTAGTTGAGAAGGGTTATGTATTTTTAGATGTCTCTTTAACTTAAGAAAATACGTGGGTGGATTCACATGACCTCAGTGTGTGAGAATCGCGTGTGTTTCTTTTTTTTTTTTAATTGAAAAAGTGCAGATTTGGATGGTTGCTGCCCCCCCACCCAACAAAAAAAAGGAATAGGTTGCTGCCAGAGGATGATGTGAACAAATTGAGGAAGGATCAAAGTCACGAATTAATGGAAAAGGAACTACTTTTCAGGTGACAATCAGCTGCACAGGCCAGTTGTGTTCTGAAATATTTTGAAAGCCGGGAGGGAGAGGTGGCCCACACACACCACGTCATTTCATAGTGTGATTCTAAACGTTCCCTGCTCGAGGGAGAGGGACCCACGCTCCTTGAAGTATTGTATTTGTTGTTTGTGCAATCTAATTTACTGCAACTGGTGTGCATGCGCAGCCCTAGGTAAGCCTGCGGATATGTTGCGAAGCCCCCAATCTTACAGTCATACGGGGTTGGAGTACGCTCTTCCCTTGTGTTCGTCTTCCACTTGGTTGTTCAACACCAGATCTCTTTTCTGTCTAATGCCATTCACAAGTATCTAAGCATACCCATTACAATGTCTTTTTGTTGTCGAATGCCATTAACAAGTCTTTTGTCTTCCATTAACCAGTATTGCAAGTACACATCCTTCGGGACATCCGTTAAAAAAATGGATATAGAGAAGATTAGCATGGCCGCTGCGCAAGGATGAAACACATAAATTTAGGAATGGTCCAAATTAAAAAAAAGAAAAAAAAAGTACCGAAGCACATATTGGTTACAAATTGGCCGAGGACTCGGCGCGGATTGAGGTGGTCAGGTTTCTCCCTTCAGTCAGCAGTCCAGGAAAGCAGCTCTTTCCAGAGTGGTGCGTCACCGGCTGAACCGTGAATTCAGGAGCACGTGGTGACCAGTGGTACGAGGTTAAGTTTAGGCAAGGCCCGGGGTTCCTCAATGGATGGTCACCGTGTGGGCAGGCGGCTTCAGCAGGGGGTTGCCAGAGGAGGCTAAGGGACTCTCCCAGGAAGGTGAGCCACCAGCTGTATGCCAGCAACAACAGCTGAATGTCAAGGTGACTTTGCTGTCAGAAATAATAGAAAACAGATATGGCTGCCTGGTACTCCTTTTAAACCACCACTACCTTTCCCAGGCAACAATCCAGGTTCTTCGGAGGCTCGGCATTAACAGTCCAAAATGGCTGGCAGCGCCAGCCGAAAGGGGAAGGGAAAAAAAAAACCGCCGCGTTGGCGCTTTCGTGAAGCTTGGCACGCAGGGGAAATCCGCCTTGGCAAGAAGAGGCTCGGAGGTAGTGAGATAGTTTCAAAGGGGAGGGTTGAGGTGGAAGCTGAGCTCCTGAAGGCTCAGGTTTGAACCCTTTCGGATATAACTTGTCGACTCCTGTGCATTCATGCTGCAGTGCGGTTTGATGGCTACTCCCTTGGACGACCATCTAGCACTCTGACCAGTCGTCAACAGTCGTGAGAAATTGGAAAGAGCAGGCAAAGGATGGGCAATCCTTTCTAAGTCTAATTTGTGTTTCTTGGGTTTGTGTGCAGATTCTACCACCGTACGACAATCTTCGAGGAACAGATGTCACTACTTTACCATATCCAGGATTCCCAACAGACATGCAGCCTCAGTTGATGTCACTCCTCTGTCTCTGCGACGGTCAGAGCGTTGTTCGGGAGACCGTCTTTGAGAGCCGAATGCGTCATGGTGGGTTGAGATCTGTTAATATTGCCGTCTTTCTTGTGCCCTCTTTGTGACCATGTGTGCTCAATGTGTATGGTCTGCCCTGTGGCATGAGTTCTGATAGTGCCATTCTGCACCACCGTCCTCACCCGAACAGAACGCCCGGCCACTATCGTTGTACTTAGACTGAAAGTTGCCCTGAATACAGCTATTAAGACCGGGGCGCTCTATTCGGGTGAAGACGGGCATGATTTTGGAGAGTGACTGCTCTCTGAAGTGATACGGTGAAACGAACGTCTCACAGAACTGCAAGCAAGTGTGCCCGTGAATTTAGTCTGAGCCCTGATATCAATTCAGCACAGGAGGCAGTGCAGTCCGCTGCAGGTTGTGGGCAAGGTGTAGATCTGAGATTAAGGATAGGGTCGGATTTGTTTGTTGGACTGGAGGCAGTTGAAGGGTTCAATGTGAGGTAAGGCGCGAGGACGTAATGTTCTACGGACGGAGGCTTTTTTTGGGACAGTGGACGGGAACTGTGTGGTGTTGAGATACTGCGTATTGCGCCTCTTATTGGTGAGAATCTGAGAAAGGGGTTTAAGCCTTATGCGAGCCTAATGGGAGCTATGATGGGGGGAATTATCATTGGCAGCGCTTTTCTGTATAAACATTGATAGTGTCTTCGAGTATGGCACTACATTTGCAGGGGTGTTGAAAGTGCTTTGATGACCTGACCCGTGCAGCTGAATGGCATGCATGCACATGCAATTGTTAGAAAATTGATCATGAGTTCAAATCCTTAATAGAATCTATTCAATGCAATAACATTAGGGCCTATCCCCTGCATTGGTTCTGTGATGCTGGCAGTGTTGTGGATGATAGTTGTCACTGCTTTAGTGGTTTTCTAACCTTGGTGGTGATTGTTCGCATCACAGAGCGACTCGCTGATTTGACATCATGACTCAAATATCTACCCTAAACCCTGGGCCAATCGCTTTCCTTGTATGTTAGTTCCCATGGCTTGCTAGCTAAAGGACTGTATAGCCCTAGAGGACTCGATATGGAGGGACGCCGGCATTGTTTAATTTCTGAGGGATGGTTGTAGTTAGGGCATGTTGCCTGCAGTTGTTTTCAAAGTGGAGGGACAGCTGCCGTCCAAAACTTGTTTTCTGAAATTTTCCTGTGATCACATGTGGTTTTGTGAAGCAGTGGAAGAACTTCAGAAGATGGGAGCGAAAATTAAGGTTACAGGGAGCAGTGCAATCATCAGTGGGGGGGACTACGGGAGGTAAGACGTTTTCTGTATGAATGTCTCTTTAAGTTGTGGAGGTCATATCAATTGCTAGCGCAATGCGCGTGGTGGCATCTCGGAATGGTACAGCTCTTGTACTTGTATTTTGGAAAGAAGTTGAACAATTCGTTGCTCCTTCACGCGAAGCGAGGAGCAAGAAATTTTGCCACGATGCTCTCATATTGTCATAAGGCAGACCCTTTCGTGCTTCTCATGGTCACTCGATCCCTTAATCCACATTTGGAATGCAAAGATTTCCAGCAGTAGAGGGCAATGACATCTGCGAATCACGACTGATCACCAACATTGCCCGTGAATCACAGTCATTTGGTGGACGATCCAAAAATTGGTGACTGCAGATTTGGCTATTGTGAGTTCAGGTGGAGAAATTGCTGTGAGTAGCTAGCGACGAGGGCAAAGCATGATCGGCTCGAAGGAAAAGCTCATCAGCAGGAACTGGCTCAAAACCATAAACACAGAATGTGCACACCCCCACGCAGACATACCATGCAACTGTGCCCCCAAACCCACACATTCAGATGATTGGTGGGTAAGCATTTGTAATGCATACATGCAGGCTAGGCTTTCATTTCTGTTGGTGTATGTTGTAATGTGCTTTCTAAATGAATCATAGCCGTGTGGGAAATTGCACACTGCAGTACACGGAAGGCACATGAGCGCACCTGCATGGTGTGGCGCATGGCCTGTTGCTATGGGGGAAAGTGGTACGTGGAAAAGAAGGGGTTGAGGCCTGAATCAGTAGTCGCGTATGCCCCCTTTGAAAATTTGTTGTGGGAACTACTGTCTTCACCTGAATAGAATGCCTGATCACTATAGCCGTATTCGGTGCAATTTTCAGTTCAGATACAGCTAGAATGACCGGGCGTGGTATTTGGGTGAAGACGGTCTGGGAGAGTAATGTGGCCACCTTACAGTCAAGACCGATGTCCCAGTGACCTATTTGAGGCTTTTTCTCCCCGCGCAACCTCCTCCCCGTCCTTGCGCGACCTGCTCTTCCCCCTTGAACATAGTCTCCAGACCTCCTCTTCCCCCTTGCACGACCTTCTCCCACCTCTTCCGGCCTCCTCCAGCTCCTCCTTGTGCGACCTCCTCCCCCTCACGCATCCTCTTTGGCCTCCTCATCCCGCTCGTGTGACCTCCTCCCCCTCCCACATCCTCTTCTGACCTCCTCATCCCGCTGGCGTGACCTCCTCCCCCTCACGCATCCTCTTTCTGACCTCCTCATCCCGCTCGCGGGACCTCCTCCCACCTCCGCACGACCTCTGCATGACCTCCTGCAACCTCTTGTCCGCCTCGTGGGACCTGCTCCTCCACCTTGCACTACCTCCTCCCTCCCCTTGCACGACCCTCTCCTCCCCCTCTTCCGACCTCGTCTCCCTTGTGCGACCTCCTGCTCGTCCTTGCGTGACGTGCTCCTCCCCCTCGTGCGACCTCTGTGCGACCTCGTCTTCCCCTTACAACCTCCTCCCCCTCCTCGGGAACCCCCTCCTCCCCCTTGTGTCCTACTTCTGTTACCTCCTCCTCCCCCTCGCGCATCCTGTTCCCACCTCCTCGTCCCCCTTGCACGACCTCCAACATCTCTTCCGACCTCCTGCGTCCTCCCCCTTGCTCGACGTCCACTTCCCACTCGCATGACCTCCTCCTTGTGCGACCTCCTCCTCCCCCCCGTATGTCCTCTTCTGACTTCCTCCTTCCCCTCGTGCAACCTCCTCCAACCTCTCTTCCGCAGAACTCCCTCTTAGACAACCTCCTCTTCCCCCTCGCGCGACCTCCTCCCACTCTCCAAATGGCACCTACCCCTTGCGCGATGTCATCCTCCCCCTCTGGGCCCTCGCAATCGCGCCACTTTTCCCACGCTCCCTGCTCTGTGAGGGGGCTTCCCACAGTTCCTATGCGCTTGAGCTTCCGTTGTCCCTCTGCTTGCCAAACAGCACAGTTCGCCATTCTACGCTGACTGCCCACGGACCCCATCTTGGCAGCATCGCACTGGCCTCGGCCTTGCCCCTGGTCCTGCCCTGCGTGTGTGGTTGGTCATTCCAGATCTCATCGTGGCACCGTCGTGCTGGCCTCGGCTTTGTCCCTTCACAGTCGCGCCGGTGCGTGTGGAACCCCGCCCTGGGTTTTTGGGCCCGGCCGGAGCGTCATGGGAGGACCGCTCCATCTTCTAAGAGTTAGAAAATCGTGTAGTGCACATGGTGACATGGCAGCCAAGGTGCTATGCTTTGTGCTTGTGGCAACAATTAGGTGTCGTATGTCTTCTTGCTGTGTCCACTGCAAAGGACAGTTCCATCAAGTACTGGAAAATCAATAACCCTGAGAGAGCAACTTCGCTGATGGACTGTTTCTATTTCCTCAGCTGAGAATCATGATGATCTTTCCTTCTATCTCCTCAGCCTCAGCTGAGAATCATGATGATATGATTATCTCCTCAGCTGAGAATCATGATGATCTTGTGATTATCTACTCAGCTGAGAATCATGATGATCTTGTGATTATCTCCTCAGCTGAGAATCATGATGATCTTGTGATTATCTCCTCAGCTGAGAATCATGATGACCCTGCCTTCTATGACACAGGTCTACAGCTCGTTCCGAGTGGCCACCAAAGGGCACGTCACCTATTGCCGACTGGGTCCCCCTGTAAGGTTAAATATGAACAAGAGTTGCACAGAACAATAGTTGCTCTGGACAAACTAGGGGCTGTTCACAGCAACCTCTAACCACACTCCTTTCTTTTTCCGTTTTTTTTTTCTAATTTTAATACCACACTCCGTACTATTTTGCTGCTCCTACCATTATTCTCGACGATGTTGCCGTTGTCCCTCTTTCGTGCAATGCTTCCATCTGTCTGCAATTGTCTGCTGTTCGAGAAGTCCTGTCTTTTTACTGTGCTTCACCTTGCACAAAAAAAGTCGTAGCATCAATCCTCAGCGTGCAGGCTGCGGCACTGGCCTGTGTTCTGTTATGAATGCTGCACTCTCGACCCGGTGACAGTCCTGTGGAAGTCATGCGTTCGCTTCATTCTCTAATTTCTCTTGATGCTTTTCAAGACAAGCTGCCTAAACCTTTGACGTCTGCAGTTTTGTTCCTTGTGTAGTCTTTGTAAATGCTTGATAAAAAATGTACTAATGATGATAGGAGTTTGCTTTCTTGGCTAAATCGGACTCGTTGCGCGAATCTGGGCTGCTGTGGTGGATTTAGGAGTTTGCTTTCTTGGCTAAATCGGACTCGTTGCGCGAATCTGGGCTGCTGTGGTGGATTTTGGTGAATGTGGATGAGGCGGAGGGGGAAGTGAATGGGGGATTGGGGTTTTTATGGGTGAAAATTGTGCAGTTCGCTGTATGGAGCTCCAGTCATAGCTACAGATCTACGGGCAGGAGCATCACTTGTGCTAGCAGGTCTGGCTGCTGGTGGAATTACACATATTGAAGGAGTACACCACATAGATCGTGGGTATGAAAAGCTGGACGAAAAGCTTCGGCTGTTGGGTGCGCAGATAAAGAGGCTGTCTCTTATACACATCTAGATGTGTATAAGAGACAGGCCTACGGTTTACCGGGCAGTTCTATTTGACGATATATGTATATTTTATATGTTCGGGAGGCATTCGGCTGAACACCCGAACATGTTCGGACGTTCGGAAAAGCTCCGAACATGTTCGGTGTGCTACACAGGTGTGGTCTTTTTTACTTCATAGATATGTGACAATACGTATGTTGAGGATTGTGTAATAAGTTACAGAAAGGGAAGGATGCACCTCTGTGCTTGCAATTTTTTGCAGATAAAGATTCTCAATAACTTGTAAGTCGAGGCAGGTTTTGTGATCGCGAACAGTGGAAGTCCTCATCCTAAACTGGGCATGAGCATCACGTCACATTGCTGTACCATGGCTGGCTGTCGATTGGGTAAGGCAATACAGGGTTGCTTCTCTGCAGTGCAGAGAAAACGTGTTAGGATGTGGACAGGTGTCTGCAGCTATGGAAAATTGAAATGCATTAGAAGCTATTGAGAATTGAAATGCAATAGAAGCAGTACTGCATGCGCTTCTGAACGGTCGTAGCATGCAAGCCAGCATTGACCATACAGATTACCTGGTTGGTTGGGGGGAGAGTGCAGTCAATCAGTCGTTGCTGCTGCATCTGGTGTGGCTGGATCTTTGGAGAGTTCTTGTTGGACGCAGGTAGTTTCCGATATGGAGGAAGTAATCAATGGTGTCGGAGGTTCGTGATTTAAGGTTGCAGTAGCAACCAGACATGCTACCCAGAACGCAGTGAAGCCTCAGCCTTAGGAATGCAGTTTTTCTCAACGAAAGAGGGAAAAGGTGTAAAGGAAATGGTTTCCACATGCTTTTTCATTTGGTGGTTTGGACAGTTGGTGGATGACTGTGACACACACGATAATTTCTTAAGAGCTTGTGGATGGTCTCAATGGTTTTGAAGAGGTACTGGATGTCTTTTCACAGTGACTGGATGGTTTTGAAAGTTACTGGACAGTTTTGACAGTTACTGGATTGTGTCAACAGTTACTGGACTGTTTTGTGGACAGTTACTGGATGGGTGGGTTTGCACTTACTGGAATGTTTTGTTGACAGTTACTGGATGGTTTTGCAGTTACTGGACAGTTTTGACAGTTACTGGATGTTGTTGACAGTTACTGAATGGTGTGTGACGGGCATGACAGGTATTGAGGAGGGCGGTGTAGGGCTCTGTCTGTCTGTCTGTCTGTTGAAGAGGGGTAGGGAGAGTGTTTTGAGAGCAGGGAGGAGGGAAGGCGCATGTGTGCGTGTTGGATGGAATTGTAGTTTCGGTTTGTTCGAGGAGAAGGGGAGGATGTAGTTAAGCGTGGCCTATGTCTGGCTCTCTCATCTTCGCTTATGTGTTTTGTGCATTTGTGTGGCTACCGGGAGACTGCGCGGGGTGGGTGGGAGTGGGGGAGCAGGGGCGGTTGTATGTGTGGGTACGTGCGTGCCTGTGTATGTGTGTAGATCGACTGACAGTGGAATCAAAAGTGATGGTGACTCACTCATGAGACGATAATCTGGATGGGGGCATGGCCGTCTTCGTTTACGCTATGATGCTCAAGCATTTGCCTTCCCCATGGTGTACGCATCTTGCCAGGCAAGGGAAGGTGCATGCTGCGGCGATGAATGGGAAGAGGCTTGTGGGGGGTTGCTTCTACTTGGACTATCCGAGTGTTGGTGCGACAGAGACGCTCATGATGGCTGCCACGCTTGCCGAAGGCGAAACTGTCTTGTCTAATGCTGCTCAGGTCAGCTTGCACATCCCAATTGCCTTTTTCTGTTTTTCTCTTCTGTGATGCATTTTCTGCTGTCTTTAGTCTGAAAGCTTCTGTCTGCTTGCCTTGTTGTCACATTGCGATGATTTGTGGGGTGTCTTTGGTCTGAAAGCTTGCATCTCTCTCTTCTGTTTCCGTCGCATTTCGAAAAAATCTCACCTGAAAAGATACAGTTAAGACTCTAGAGTTTAAGACCATAGATGCTTCCAATTGGTTAAAAAAACCTCCAAAAAAGTGATTGTTGTCCTCCTACGCATGCAAGGGTTCGGACTTCGAATCCCTTTTCCTCTGTAGTCTCAGATGTCTGTTATTCAGTTATTCAGTGGTTTGTGGCCGCCTTACCAGTTTACTTCATATGTATGTGTGCCATTTGTGCCTCTTTGTAGTTCATAAATATGCGACGACATATGTGTGCCCTTCGTAGATTCCATGCATCGAGTCAATTTTTAGATGGTGGTCATGTAAATGGTGATGCCAGTCGCACAATGACATGCCGATCGGTTGGATGATCATGTCCTGTTGGCTTCCGGGAGCATACTTCCCGGTTTGTGATGTGGTTTTGCAGACTTAGACTGACACATCATGACTTGAGTTTGCCCACCACGGTCGCTGATTTGTGATTCAACGGAGCATACTTGCTTAGTGGTTTGAAGTTTGAACTGTGCATGTGTGTTGCACAGCCCACACAGCACACTGACATGCTGCATATGGCATGTGTGCACCAGGAAACTTCAATTTGTCTTCTTTCAATAAAATCTGAAAAGAAAAGTGTTGTGTGTAGGGAGGTGAGTTTCACAGAGAAGAGGGGGACAAAATTTCGGACACGGTGTGAAAATTGGAAAAATTGGGGAAACTTGAAAATAGAGACAGGATACTGTATGAGAGGATGGTAGACGGCAAGGGATGAGGGGTGGTAGTAGGTGGCAAGTACGATATAAGCAAAGGAAATGCAAGTAGGTAATCTGAGGAGGATGGTATCAAGAAATATGGGAGAACAAGTAAAACTGGTAAGGAGGAAAGAACTTTGTAGAGGGAGCAGGACTATAGATAGAGACCAGTGTTATAGGAACAAATCTGTTTGGCTTTTTCCGAGAGAGAGGACTTGGTTTAGAGGAGGAGACTAGCGGCCAGCGAGGCTGCTAGGCTCTCCCCCCCCATGCCCCGCCACCCCTGGGACCCTTCTGATGCGTGTCTGGGTGCTGCTAGTAAGCTTCCCGGCCAGCAGAAGCGTCCCAGAGGAGGCGATGGTTTGGGAGGTGGGATGGCCTGTAGCAGTCCCCCCCTTGTGGTGACTAGTACCGCAGGGCTTGGCTGATTTCTATCCCTGCTACTATCTCACGATGGCAGTGATAAGCAACCAGACTGATGCCCCCCAGAATAGATGGGGCCTTGTGTGGTTAAAGAAGGTTAATCAACTTTTTTGCTGGGGCTGTCCTGAGATCTTACTTGCTTATGAAAATGAAAAACAGATTTCATATGTTTTGCTTCAGTTTATGTCGTTAATAGTTTTGGTGTGTACCAGTTTGGTGAACCGCAGAGCACGCAGTGCACTGCAGATGTGCGCAACATGGAGATGCTGCATCTAGCATGCATGTGTGGGCTCAGTGATGTTATGTAGGCATTGAGGTTCTCCAGTGAAATTATTATTGGAGCGGCATATGTTCAGTGCCTGTGAGGGAGAAAAGAATGTGCAGCTCCGTGTGCAGAAGGAAAGAGAGGCCTCATTGTGATCTTGAATGCTGAATTGCCATTCAATCTATATGCTGGGCAGGGAGCCGGGTGGGCAGGCAAGGGGGCACCCACCTGGCAAAACCAGGCAGGTCAAAAACATGGCAAGAATGAGACAGTGCAGGGGGGAGAGGGGGGAATCTTACTTCTGGCCAGGATTGCACATGCCCTGGGCAGCCGCAGTACAGCCTTACCTCCCCTGATGATGGGTCACCCAGGGGGGTTTCGGGGGGGGGGGCATAAACAGGGTTTAGAAGGGTTTGATGGGGTATGTCTTGTCTATTTGTCGGCGAGGAGACCCTAACACAAGGTCTATTTGTATCCAATCATTTTTTGATGTGTGGCAATTTTACAAATCATATGTTTTTTTTGAGAATTTTTATAGGCTACCAGAGTGGCGGCANATGAATGGTTGCAGTGTCCCCCTCATGTTGGTCTTGCTTTTTTTCTTCATATTCATCAATGTGGCGATCCTTGTACGAAGGGGGAGTTAAAAGAAAGAGTAAAATGAATGGTTGCAGTGTGCCCCTCATGTTGGTCTTGCTTTTTTTCTTTCTACCACTAGTACTGCAAGGAATATGAGTGTGAACGATATACAAAAGACCAAGTTGCAAAATCACACAGATGTCCAGGTAGTCGTATCCAAGCAGAGTACAAAATGCACCGAGAAACCATCCATATAGAGCAATACAATGAAGTAATGAGCCAATGTCCAAGCCCGAGTCCACACCAACACAGAATTTAAAGTCGCCCCTTTCTATCTGGCGCCCAGCGCCTAACCTACTCTGCCCGACTATCCTACCTACAGCTGGTTCACGCAACAGGCTCACTTCGACTCTCGAAGACCAGTGTACATGACTGTCAACTCCATAGCTGACCTCTCTTCATGCACCAGGTACGTATCTCGTCACCCTCAGCAGGCTGCTGCTGCTGTTAAGAACTGTTAGCTGGTCTCCTGGAGCAAAGGCTGGTCCGGGAGACGCTAGGGCGCCAATGAGGCCCGGGGGCACCGGTGGCCAACACCGCCAAAATAGGGGTATGAGGACTGTGACTTCGCAGACCCCATATCCTAGGCATCAGACCTTGATTACCCCCACACAATGCCTCCTTCCCTGAAGACCACCAGATCACCTGCTGTACCCCCTGGCGCCCAGCAGCCCGGCTATGGCTGCCTGCGCCCCGCTGCCCTGCAGCGCCCCTCCTCACCTCTACGTGCCCCATCAGCGCCTTTGGCAGCAGCGCAGCATCAAGCGATAGCGCAGCAGCACTTCCGCATTGCCAGCACTGGCCAGAATGCCTGGTCTGGGCTGCCTCACTCCTTTTGTGGAAGTGGCAGCCTCCTGGATGCTGCGTGTGGCCTGGCTGGAAGCTTATACAGTAGCTTCCGGTTGGGTCCCAGACCCTGCGCCCAGGCCTGAGACTACAGTTGAAGGCCTGGGCCCTTTGCAGTTAGGCACGGCCTGAGTCTCCGGACTTGGGCTGTTTGCTGCATCTGTGCAGGGCTCCCAGGCAGGTGTGTCGACACTACTGCTTTTCCAAAGACCGAAGGCCTGCTTCCCAATGTATCGGCCCTGCTTTGTGTATGTATGCCCAGGCGCAACTGTCAAGGCCTGGGCCAACTGTATGACACAGCAATGTGAGGCCCATGCGTCTACCCAACCAACTGGCGTGCTGCGAGAGCCCGGATACCCACATTGGAAAGGTCGAATTTTGCCTTTGATGAATATTCAGGCCCGCCTTCACTTAGGGCGGGCGCTTGGCTTGCTGAGGGCCTTAGTGATGTCTGATAGGGCCCCTTGAGGGCTTGTTCCTCACAGTACCTTTGACTGTTCGAAAATACTCGGCCTGCGACCTTTCAGGAGGCCGAAACGAAACGATGGCCGCCGATCAGATTTATCAACGGCAGCTGTTGTTGGACTCGGC